TATCTGCATGATAAAAACTACCTACCTTGAAGTAAATGTTTCTAATAAATCTGGTTAAGATTAGTTATTTGAAGCTATAAAAATGGGGTCTCGCATCATTATTGACAGCTGAGTCCTTCTCACACTTGAGTCGGCCAGGTGTATGGGCAGGACCTCAATACAACACCACCAACAGCGATCACTACTGCAGACTCTGGCTCCAAATGACGTCACCAGTGCAAGATGGCAGCGGCTGTGTATGGGATATTAATACACGATGTCTTTTGATCTTTTATATGTTGATGGATTCACCAGGCGTCTTCTGCAAGTGTGACATGAGTGGACCAAGGGTATGACTTCCAGGCAAGATGGAAAGCCACCACTACAACACCACGCACAAAGACAAATATGTACATCGGAGCTGCAAGGCACTGACCTCAAAGGAAAAATACACCAATAGCAGAGCCTTTTTACAAAAGCCATGACTACACAGGCGTCCTCTCTCTAGACATCATGCTGTTTCCCTTGAGCTTACTTAAGCAAAGAAACCAATGGTAGATGGTGAAACGTTGAAGCAATGTGCAGTGGAAATGGCTAAGGACTTTGAAACTGTCTCACTATCCTGCTGCACAGTGATGCAAAGAATTTTTTGACATTTAAAAATCATGACGAGGGAAGTACTTACAGTCATGCTTATTAACCAGTTTTCATTCACACAGGAGCCATTGGCAGTTTATTTCAAGTGCATAAGGAGTAATTGAAATTGGTGTCTTTGCTACTGAGGGCAAGGATGTTTTCAACAGTTAAAAGTGCTGTAAGTGAGCATGATCTTTGACAAGCTGTAAGCTGTTGTTATCTATGGTGCACCATCAATGCAAGGAAGACACACTGGGCCACTCCAACAGGGCGGCACTGAATGTCCAATACTGCACTGCATCACATATCAGGTGAGTAATGTTATCACTAGCTAACTATTCAAAACTCCAGTGTGTAACATGTAGGAGGGTCTATTGTCAGAAATGGAATATAATATTTATAACTATGTTTTCATTAGTGTTGTGCCATGTTGAACTGCCATGTTTCTACAGTAGCCCTGAACGACCAAACACTGACTCTAGATAGAGTCTTTTGTGAGCTTGGCTGACATGGTTGGAAGGGGAGGGTAAGGCATGGGGGTATTTAGTCAGTTGCAATCTGCACTAAATGCCTTAAATCATACAAATTGGTCCTTTAATATATGGACTGTAAATGGACTGTACTTATATNNCATGCCACACTCACCCCATTCATTTTATTCTGACAGGGGGCTCTCTGTGCCAAGACAATGAACTTCAGTCATGTCATGGATTTAGTGACCAAGCTTACCAATCACGTTTTTTAATCATAGGCCGTTTAAAGCCTTTTTAGATGAAGTGAACGCTGCTTATGGGGATTTACTAATGCACACTGAGATCAGAAGGATGAGATGTGGGAAGGGCTTCTTTTGTGCTGTGCACTGAAATCCCAGTGTTCTTAGAGAACAGCATTCAATGTTAGACGCTTACTGCAGTTAAGTTGGATACAGATTTTCTCTTGACATGCCCTCACTGGCAGATATTTACTTGCATCTTAATCACCTGAACATGCAGATACAGGGAAGAGGCCAAACTGTTGGATCTATTTGCACACATGAACACATTTCAGCCTAAGCTAACCCTGTCCAAAGAAGACCTTTTATCTGACCATCTAAATCTGGAACACTTTTTATGCCTGTGAAGAAATGTGTAAAGATGTCCTCCAATGCGAGAAAAAACATTTCTCAACAATGAAACACAGCAGCGGCAGTTCAAGGACTACTTTCAAGATTTTTTATTCCATGCAGCCACAAATTGTGTTATTGACTGACCCCCTCTCTGCTGCTGTCAGTGAGCAACCCCCAGAGTTGCAGCTTGAACTGAGCGAAATACAGTCAGACCCCTTCTTTCAAGCATAGCGGAATGAAAGTGGAATTTCATTTTGGAGACAACTTCCCAAGTCCTGCTTTCCCATCCTCAGGAAATCTGCACTCTTAGTGGCCAGCATGTTTGGGACCACATACATCTGTGAGAGCAGCTTCATCAAGTAAAAGGGAGAGTAACAAGCTGAAATTTAGTTCCAGCTCATGTGGATTGGATGCACATACATTGGGCGGCATTGTGGCTCAGAGGCAGAGCGGTCATCCACTAATCGGAAGGTTGTTGGTTCGATCCCCGGCTCCTCCCGCCACATGTCGAAGTGTCCTTGAGCAAGATACTGAACCCCGAATTGCTCCCTGT